GTACATGAACTCTAGAACATGTCAAGCATTTGGTGAAGCATACATTCAACTAATTAACAGTAGAGCCAGAGGATATCAACAAGTAAGGGTCATGTTTGACAATTCCCCAATTTTCATCCTTAAAAGAATGAACCAGGGAAAGGCATAGAAGAAACTCAAGTGAATTAAAGTCATACATTTTTGAAAATTCAACTCCCATAAAAGACCAGAAGACTTTTCTAGCAAGCAACAGCACCAAGGACTCACTTACCCTGTACATGTCAACACAGTTGATTGACAAAAGCAAAGTGGAGAACATGATGACTGCTACAAGAAAAAATGTCATGGTGAACAACGAATGATTTCAAGGGAGAACCAGGGTCAGCAACCAGGAGAAGCTGGTATTCTTATGATTGTCCATACTGTTGAAGCTGCAAGCAAAGAGTTCCAAATTCATCTTTATTCACATGACACTGATGTACTTGGTCCCAGTGCTTCCTTAATCACAGATACAAGTCATCATCATTTATCATGAGGTTGCGCTCGATCTTTGATAAACTTGGTGAAGAAAAGGTGTTTGCTTTGATCAACTGACATGCTCTGACCAGCTGTGATACAACAGGGCATATTTTTGGGAAGGGGAAGAAAGCTTGTTTCTCTGCCTACATGAATGCAAACAGGTCTGTTATCCATGCAATATCAGGCCTTGACATAGGAGACTAACCTTCCAAAAAGGTGTGTAATAGCTATGAAGAATTCTTATGTGGCCTTTTTGTCCTAAGTGTGTGAAATTTGTGAAACCAAAGGATCTGCGATGGCACCTATTCAAACAGCCGAAAGCAACCAAGGTGTGGAAAAGTTGCCACCAACTACAGGAGCCTGGCTGCAACATATCCGTCGCAGCCATGCACAGGCAGTTATCTAGCAATCCACAAGCATCAAATGTGAAGCTGACAATGAGAAGTGTGCTAACACTGAACCACTTCACGTAGGGGAAGATATACCAGACAATTAAAAAGACTTAACAAATTCTTGCCTACAAAATTAATACACTCGTATAATGTGATGGATTAATAAATATTGTTTTCTTGGTTAATAATGTGCATTGCTTTTAATGTGTATGGTATTTGTTGGTACACAGCAAAACAATCTGAAACGGGAATAAAGCACTACTATACTAGATTATAACCAAACTTAATCACTGTGAACACAATGGAATTATCCGGATATCCCAATCGTGTTTCAGTTACTCTAGTTCATAAAATTGTAAAAAATTCAGTGGTACAAACATAGTTCCTCCATGGCAAGGTCTTATATCTATTAAGATACAAATATAATTCCAAATTATAGAGCAGATGAAAACTCTGGACTGTGTTTTTATCATCTCAATCTCTGTAATGGTGACAGATTATGAAAAAACATAGTATCCTGGGGGATACAGTTATTCATTTTCATATAAAAGACAGAATATTTGTTTTATGTTATGCAAAAAATATTAAATCATATGAAGATCCTAGTGCATGATGTGGAAATATGGATCTGGGGAGCTTATTGATAAGTATAAAACATTGTTAAGGGCATGTAGGGAAAGGGGTCATAGCTTGATTTTGTCATGGATATTGCCAAGAATAAATTGTAGGGATGAAATGCTAAGTAGGTTACTAGGATTGAATGCCAGGCTTAGATCAAAATGTAGGGATGAGCGAATAGGCTAGTTGAACTTGTGGGATAATTCTAATGGGAAAATTAATCTTTTTGGAATGGATGACTTACACTTAAACAAGGCAGGGGCTACCATGTTAGCAAGGGCTATTAACTTAGCTGTAGTTGCAGATTTAAACTAAGGCTAGACAGAGGTGAGGGTTATGATACTAGTAAAATAGGAAATATAACTGACAGGAAAACGTGTACAACAGGTATAAAACATGAACATAATTTAAAATCTATGATTAATTGTTACTACTGTAATGCTAAGAATATTAGAAATAAAACTGATGAGTTCAAAGCAGCAGTTGTGGAAACTGAGGATTTTGATATTATGGGTATCATTGAGACTTTGTTGGGTTTGAACAATTGTGATGAGAGAAATTTGTTTGAAATACCAGGCTACAGATTATTTACTAGAGATAGAGTATTGAAAAAAGGAGGAGTAGCAACTTTACATTTGAAGAGTGAATTGCATTCTGTTGAGTTTTTTTTATTTATTCCTGTAAACTCCCAGTGGAGCATAGGGCCGCAACAACACCTCGCCAATGGAAGGTGTTGTTGCAGTTACTTGTAGCATGTTGGTTTTTACGGGGTGGAGTTGCTAGCCCCGCGCCCAACCCTCCCCTTTTTCATCCTGGACTTGGGACCAGGCAAAGGCGGAGATTGGCATGTTTGGTGTGACGGGGATTCGAACCCGCGACCCTCAGATTACGAGTCGAGCGCCCTAACCACCTGGCCATGCCGGGCCCATCCTGTTGAGTTAGAGCATACTAAAGAAAATAGCACAGAGGTTTAGTCACTTTGGGCTAGTGTTAGTGGATATAAAGGTAAAAGTCTTGGAATTGGGATTTGTTATAGACCACCATGTCAGAATGTGGAAGTTAATGAGAAACTGTATAATGAGATCAGAATGGTAGCTGGAAAAGATGTTGTTATTATTGGATATTTTAATTTCATAGGTATTGAAAATTTTGTTTCTGACAGTGAGGGAGATAGGTTTTGGAAAATTGTTCAGGATACTTTATATACCAACTGGTGATGGAACACACAAGAGAGGATGCTATATTAGATTTAATATTCGCATCCAATGTGAATATGCTAGACGTAGTTGTAGTTGGTGAGCATTTAAGTACAAGCGACCATTTCACTATTAGGTTTGGGATTTTACTACATTGAGGAAGAATAGTACCCCGGTTTAAAATTTCAGGAAAGCCAATTTTGATGGAATGAGACATGATCTGGCTTATGTAGATTGGACTAAAGAGTTGGGGGAAGATCTAGAACAGATGTGGCTGCAAGAGTTAAATCAAACAATATGGAATTCTTTAGGTGTATAATAGGTATTGTTACGTCTCCGTTTGTTAATTAACTTTCCGT